AAGATTTATTTATTTATTTATACAAGCACTGGGTACAGTCAGAAGCGCGGGAGGGTGAGAGAATTCACCAGAGCCAGAGCGGGGAAAAGAACAGGTAGACTGACGAAATACACTACTGAGGGGAGCAGCGGGTGGCAGGAGAGGTCTGCACGCCATGCGGGACCCTCACCGGCTGCCGGGTATTGAACCGGCGCTGCAGAGGCTGCTGGCAGCTTCGCAACCCGCGCTCAACCGCTGCGCTACCGGGGAGGCCCTATAGTGTATTTTTAATACCCACATAAGTGCAACTGGTACAGTTAAGAGGCATTGCACAGATTCTATATAACAGTGAAAACCAGAAAGTATGAAGTTAAAAAAATCATGCACATCTACATGATGGAATACTCTGGAGCAGTTGTTAACCACACTATAGATTAGTCTGTACTGTGATGGGGAGAAAGCATTAAAGGTACAAAGTTAAGTTAGTTACAAGAGTATGTATAGTGTGGTAGCACTAGTGTAAATAATGATGATGACCATGCTACAGCTGAATAGAAGAATATTGAGTAAATATGCATGGAAAAGTCTATAGGAACCAAGCTGCAACTATTTATTTTTAATTTATTTTATTTATTTATGTATAAAAGAACTGGGGTGTAGGCCAGAGGTGTGGGGGATGAGAGGATTCACCAGCGACACAGTGGGGAACAAAACAGGTGGATCTACTGAAATACACTGCTGAGGGGAGCAATGAGTGAAACAGGAGAGATTTGCTGTGCCATGTGGGTTAGCTCGCTGGCTGGGCATAGAATACAAGCCGCAGTGGCTGGCCATAACTTGATAGCACTGAGACTTAACCACTGTGCTGCCAGGGAGGCCTAGCTGCAAATGTATACATTTGGGTACAGATTTGGGAAAGATATTTTTGGTTTTTGCACTACAAATTTTAACATCTTTTTTTTTCCCCCAATGAACCTATGTTACTTTTGTGGGCATTAAAAAATGGTAAGGACCCAAATCACAAACCAAGGCATTACCACAGGCAGGAAAGAGGAAGGGGACAGAGAAAGACCGTGACAGTAGGTCCTTAGCCTCAGGGATAGATGTCAGGTCTCCTTCCTTTGTGATCAGCAAAGCCTAAGGGCACTACACGTTCTTGGGGAGGGCAATTAGGTGATAATGAAGCTGCATCCGGGGTCAAACTTCATCTCTGCCGCAGTCTCATTGGCCTTGTTCCTTGTCAGTCTAATGACTGGACTTGCTTCTGTGCCTAGTTTTAAATAAATCTTTCAGAAAGAAAAACAGAGTCAGGGAGGGAGAGAGAAGAAAGATGTGGGAGAGGGGGGAGAAGTGAGGCAGAAAGGAAAGGAAAGGAGAAGAGAGGCTGTGTCCCTGCATCTCCATGGCCCCAGGAAGTGGGACGGGGAATTGCTCCTCAGCTCTCTGTCAGGAGTCGCCATGGAGACGGAGTGCTGGCCTCTTCATGATTAATGCTCAGAGCAGCTGTCTTCTTGTAGTCTTTTAAAATATATACACTATTATTTGAACACAGTGATATTTAGAGCCAAGATCAAGGTGAGGGGTGGGAGAGGAGGCAGTAACATTACCAGAAAGATGACAGGGGTTGGGTCCTTGCCAAAAGAGAGAGAAGGGAGGTTGCCTTTACGGCTCCATACCTGCTCCCTGAAGTCCTCCCTGAATCCAGAGCCTCCAGTTTCATCCACTGTGGCATCAGCATCAGCATCTGAAGGGCCAGAGCAGTGCCTGGAACAAGACTGTGTTCAATGAACATTTGATGAATGAATTTGTTCATTCATTAATTCATTCAGTATTTATTTGTTCAGTGCTTGTCTAGAAAATTCTTCTTCCCCTACCCTTTTCCATGGAAATCAGAAATTTCCTCTCACCCTCAGCAAAGACACACACACACTACCACCATGAGCAACTTCCACTCGGCTCCTACAGACCTTTTATGTGCTCCTCCTCAGCACACATCTGACTCAACCCACGGTGTTTCTATCCATGGTAATCACTCCAGGAAATTCTTGCAGGGATAGACATCTGCCAGATCAAATTTGCACATTTGCCTATTTGAAAAGTTAGAGAGAGATGTTTTATCTGAAGCCATCCTATAGTGAATCCTGTTGTCAAAATGATTGTCTTTTCCTAAATTTTTTCTGGTGCAAACTCTCCGTGCCAACACTTAGTAGAAAGATATGTGGCCTTAGGCAAGTCATTTAACCTTCTTGAGTCTGTTTATTCATCCATGAAATGGGTCAATTTCTTAATCCATAGCCCTTTTGTGATGATTAAAATCTTTGTAAAGTGCTTGATGTAGTGATTTCCCTTGTGTAAATTTGTGTTTTTATATTGAAGTGTGAAATAAAGTGATCAAGTGCCTCTTTTTTACTTTTATTCTCAAAGCCTTTATTCTAAATATCTTTGTAAGTTATTAAAAGTTGGAGAGTTATTAAAACTCTGCAGGACACACCTGCAGGACCACTGAAGGTGTGTCCTGAAGAGTTGGGTGTGGGTCAGCCCATATCCAGAGCACAACTGACTGTGTTCCCTTTCTCCCCTCCCACTCACTCCCATCTCCAGGTTTGCCTCCAGGCCTGTCCTCTAAAAAGAGGAAGTTTGGGTGTTTTAACACAGACTTAGCCAATGACCATTGGCAGAGCGCAGCAATGACCTGGGCACTTGCCAAAGGAGTAGAGGAATTATCCATGACTAAGAAGGAGGAGGAATGCTGTGGCAGAGGGCAGAACAGCAGAAGGGATGGGGAACCTGGGGCTGGCCAATCTGTCCTGACGGGGCAACCTGGGGAGCCCTGGACACAGGCCTAGCCAAACCCCACCACTCCCCTTCCCTCCCAGGCAGCAAGATGCCACAGTGGATCTGAGACATGTGTGTCCCTGTATGTCTGGGGTAGGATCACCTGGTGTTGGCAATGCATTTGGATTAGAATCAAATCCTCAGTCTGAAATAGAGTATAAGGGAATTAGTGCTCTGTGTCTAATCCTTATAGACATGTGCTAGGTTTCTGTGCTTCCTACATGCACAAACAGGTGTGCTGCTTACACAGAACTCATCTGTGGCATTTGTTAGGACAGGTTACACATGTAGCACTCTGTATGCAAAAGACCTTTGTATAATTTCCAGACATGAAGAGAAGATAGATGCAAGTGTGTCAGCATATGTTTTGCAGGTGATTATGTGATGACATATTATGTGAACATGTTTGTGGAGCTGTTGGGGGGTGAGGGAGCAGGCAGCTAGAATGGAGATGGGTCCTAGTAAAATAAATACCAAAATCTACCTTATAGTCTTATTAGGCATTTAAAGAATAGTGAACATTGAGAAACTGAATGAATAAATATTTGGATAATATACTTAAGGTGAAAGACCTGAGAATTTGGTCGGGTGTGGGTATTCTTGTTGCTCTGTCTTGGAAAGGTGGGTGCAAGAGGCTGAGAGATATACTGCCAGTGATACTGTAGCCCATCACTCTTGAATGGCTTTACTTCTATCTCCAGAAAAATAGAGAAAAGGAAGTCCCAGTCCTGCCCTTCCTACCTCCCAGCACCCAAAGTCCCAGGAACTGATGTTTTTGTAAAGAAAAATATGCTATTTCATCTATTTATTTAATCCCCACATTTGGTTGCAGAAAGCAATTGATCTATAGACACATCAATTTTTTTTCCAAGAGTATGAGAAAGGAGGGAAAATCATAGCAGAAGAAAAGATGAAATCAGGAAAGAAGCCGGTTTCTTTGCTAAAGTCAACTTTAGCCTGATGCAGCAAAGACTCACAGCCTCCTTAAGGCTAGGGAATGGTTTATTGGTTTCTTTCAGTTTTCAAGAAAAAGCCCAATTATTCCAGGTACTTTTGAAAAATATTTCCTGCCAATTATCTGTGTATTTCAGGGTGGTGGTGGGGGAATCCCGTGTGTAAAAGTAGTTTATACAAAGGGGAGGGAAGCTAGAGAAACATCTCATACCTGTGGGTAAGGGAAACTGGTATCACATCTCTGAAGGACAAATTGCCCAGTGTCTATTAAAATTGCACATACCTTTTGACTCAGAATTACACTCAATGGAATTGATCCCACAGATATATTCACAGTTATATGGTCAAGGACATTGGCTACAAAAACCTTGGTGAAAGCAGAAGGTTGGAAACTTCCTACATGTTCATGGATAGGGGACAAATTGCCCTACCTTAGAGTGGAATACCCTACAGCCTTAGAAAAGAATGACCAAGTTAAGCTCTTTATGTCCTTTCAAGAAGCAATCTACCAGCTACTTTAAATGAGGGGGAAAAAAAAACAAAACCATACTGCAGAACAATGCTATGCTTGCATATACATATATATTTTTGAAAGGCTACACAAGAAACTTAAATGTGGTTATCTCAGGAGCTAGGTGATGAAGAAAAGAGAAGCTTTACAATTTAGAATATACCGTTTTGTTCTGACTTTTCTTTCTCACCATTTGCAAGTAGTATGATCCTTTTTAATTTAAATAATAGTTCTTTTTCTTAGAACAAACAACAACAAAAAAAAAACTTAAGAAAACGAAAAAAGAACACAGCGAAGAGCAAATTAATAACGGCAAATTATGGTTTACTGAGTACCCGTGAGCCTAGAACTTCATAGGCTCTAATCCAATTATTCTGCATAGCAAATTTACTAAGTAGAGAGCTATATCTCCATTTCACAGGTGAGGAAACTGGTGTTCAAGGAGACTAAAGGACACAGTAAATGGCAGAGAGCAGATTCCAACCACAAACTGTGCAACCCCAAAGTCAAGCGCACCTTCCCTCGCAGTCCCCCGGGCTTCGCCTCCAGGTGAGAAGCGCACGCACTGGACGCAGGTCCACGCGGCGTAGCGCTCAAGCCCGGCGCACCCGCGGCCCCAGCGCGCAAGGGGCTCCACGCTCGGAGAGCGCGCGCACGCAGTGGCGCGGGCCCGGTGGCAGCAGCGGCGGCGGCTGCGACGACGTCACAACCCGAGCTTTCCTTTTCGGGAGTCCCCGGCACACATCCTGTGTCCATGTTTGGGCATTTACGTCATGGCGGCAGGGCCGGGGCCTCCCGAAATGGCAGTGGCCCGGGGAGTCGGAAGCCCTGAGCCAGCGCCGCCGCTGCTATATAAGTGGGGGGGCCGCGGGTTGGGGGAGCCCGGCTGCGCTTTGAAGAGGCGAGGTGCGGTTGCCCGAGACTAGTCCCGGCGAAAAAAGAGAACCCTGGCCCCAGACCTTTTTCCCAGAGGTGAGCGCCGGGAGCCAGGAGCCCGGGCACCTGGGTGTGTGCGGCGCTGGGCGCCTCGACTGCTGGCTTGCCCATCACCCGCGCGCTCCCAAGCCTAGCGGGCGAGGCCCCCGGCGCCCCGCAGCCGCGGCCGCGCCATGCTCCACCTTAGCGAGTTTTCCAACCCCGACGCGCTTCTGGTCAAGTCCACCGAGGGCTGTTGCGCCGAACCCAGCGCAGAACTGCCTCGGCTGCCCGCCAGGGACGCTCCCGCGGCCGGCGGCTATCCCGGAGGTAAGGAGCGCGGTCAGGGGTGCTCAGACGGCGGCGCAGCGCGGGGGCACTGGATGCCGGAGAACCGGCGAGGACTGGAATGCAGGAACTGTGGGGGTAGGGGCGGTAGGAGGCTCCGGGGTCCTGTAGTGCGCACCCCTTACCCACCCCCACAGGGCCGCCGCCTGCGCAGAAACCTTTGCGTGTATCGAGACATCCTTTGCCTGCACGTGTGTTTTTCGTGTGCATGCTCATGTGTGCGTCTCGGGGCATTTGCCGGCTGCGGCTGGGTCAGGATGTGCAAAAGACATTTTGTGTCAGTGAGCACCAAGGGCTTCCTGGGTAGGGGGTGGAACTCCGAGGCGTGCCCTTTATTGTGCCCGCAGCTGATTCCTGCTCCCCCCTCAGCAGGCGACTTCTTGAGCTGGGCTTTGAGCAGCTGCGGCGCCGGGGGGGACTTAGTCGACTCCTGCTTCCTGGAGGGGCCTGCGCCCACGCCCCCTCCCGGCCTCAGCTACAGCGGTAGCTTCTTCATCCAGGCAGTACCCGAACACCCGCACGACCCGGAGGCACTCTTCAACCTCATGTCGGGCATCCTAGGCCTGGCACCTTTCCCTGGCCCTGAAGCGTCAGCATCCCGGTCTCCGCTGGACGCCTCTTTTCCCGCAGCTTCCGATACCTTGCTGCCGGGACCGCCGGATCTTTACTCCCCGGATCTGGGCGCAGCCGCTTTCCCAGAGGCGTTCTGGGAGGCCTCACCCTCAGAGGGCGCTCCGTCGCAGTGCCTGTATGAGCCTCAGCTCTCCCCGCCCGACGTCAAGCCTGGCCTCCGTGCTCCTCCAGTCTCCCCAGCGCTGGACGCTGCCTCCTCTTTCAAAGGTCCCTATGCTCCCTGGGAGCTGCTTTCGACCGGGGCCCCAGGGAGCTGTGGGGCACAGGGAAGCTACCAGGCCGCCCCGGAGACCCGTTTCCCTCCTTTGGGGGCCAAGGTTGAAGACCTACTGTCTATCAGTTGCCCGGCAGAGCTGCCGGCGGGCCCGGCTAACAGACTCTACCCGACGGGGTCCTACGACGCTTTCCTGCTGGCCCCGGGTGACCTAGGGGAGGGGACCGAAAGCCTCCCTGGGCTCCTGACCCCTCCTAGTGGGGAGGGAGGGAGTAGCGGCGACAGTGGAGAGTTTCTGCCGGGTACGCAGCCTCCGCTTTCTCCGCTGGGCCTCCACGGCGCGGCGGCGGACTTCCCAAAACCTCTGGTAGCGGACATCCCAGGGACCAGTGGTGTGCCCGAGCCTCCGGGGCCGCCGCCACCAACTCCATTCCCTCCGGCCAAAGCTCGGCGCAAGGGGCGCCGGGGTGGCAAGTGCAGCGCGCGCTGCTTTTGCCCGCGGCCTCATGCCAAGGCCTTCGCCTGCCCGGTGGAGAGCTGTGTGCGCAGCTTTGCGCGCTCCGACGAGCTCAACCGCCACCTGCGCATCCACACGGGTCACAAGCCCTTCCAGTGCCGCATCTGCCTCCGCAACTTTAGCCGCAGCGACCACCTTACCACACACGTACGCACCCATACGGGCGAAAAACCCTTTGCCTGCGACGTGTGTGGCCGCCGCTTTGCGCGCAGTGATGAGAAGAAACGGCATAGCAAGGTGCACCTCAAGCAGAAGGCGCGCGCCGAGGAGCGGCTCAAGGGCCTGGGCTTTTACTCGTTGGGCCTTTCTTTCGCCGCCCTGTGAGAGAGTGGTGGGTTTGTAGATCGAGGCCGGCGCCGCCGCCCGGCTCGCAAGAGAAGACTTGGCCCGCTCTTCTCTCTGCTCCTCTTCCAACCTGTGGTCATGCTTCCGGCGCGCCCGGGGCAGACCTCTGGTCCTGCTTCCAGTTTCCTTGAAGAGCCCGCAGCACACGCCCCGTTCAGCACCAGCTCCGCGGACAGCTCCCGCCGTCCGGGCGCTGTCGCCCCACCTCGGCCAAGCTTTGGGGGAAGTCCTCTTTGGTTACTCACGGAGTAGGTACTTCCAGAGACTCCTTGGGACTCCAGACAGTCTTTTGTAATTGGCGCATGCCCCACGCCTTCCCCTCGATTCCCCAGAGACAGGCTGGGGTAGTGCCGAGCCGGTCTCGTGCGGGACTTTGTACAGCAATGTCGTTTCCAGCAGCCATTGGATGTAACGTTTTGCTTTGGGGTTATTTCCTTTTAGTTGTTGTTAATTTTTTTTTTTTTTGTAAAGCAGACGCTACTTTCAAGCAGTTGACAAAACTGTTTATTTTTGCAATTAAAATGGTTGTGCTAAAAGCTTATTGAATCTACCATCGGAGCTCCTGAGCCCTCCCCCTGCCCCCACTCCCCTAGGAGAATTTGTGCCAGAAGAGAAGAGATATCCAGGCTCATGGAGTCATTGCATATCTGTCAGGCATTGTGGCACATAGTAGGCCTTCAATAAATGTGTACTGAACTGATGGATAAATTTAATCACAGCTGACCCAAGAGCTCAAGATATTCCTGGAACTTGAGAGTGATTGAGAAGCTTAAGGTTAAACATTGTGTGTATGTTACCCTTCTGAATCCTCATAATCCTGAGTGAAGCAGGCATATAATCCATTTCAAAGATAAGGAAGCAGTGTAGGTCACTTTCTGGGTTATCCAGCTAGGAATGGGCAGGGTCAAACACAGGCCTGGCTCCAACGCCATTGCTTTTTTCCCCCAGCCCCAGAATGGAGGCACATCAGCTTAAGCACTGTTTGGAAAAGTTTTCTATCAGGAGGTGAGAGACAGATTCCACAGCTAGAGGGAGCCCCAGTCAGTGGTGATAGCAGAAGACTACTATTTCAGTGCTCTTTGTGAACACCCAGAGTGTTGGTTGGCACAGAGCCTCTAGACAGAGCCTATGCATGTGTCTGCAAAACACATAGTGAGGGCCACAAGGGACTCAGCATTCAGTCAGACCATTGATGAGCAGAGCCAGGCCCAGCTAGGAGGGGGTGTTTGCCCGAGACTCACAGCTGCCTTAGTTGCTCTCCCCTCAAAGGATCTATTCCATGGAGCAAGGGCCCACTGACTGTCCTGCCCTGTGCCTGCCACAGTCCCTTTTCCCTCGCTCTCCTTCCAGGGGCAACCTTCATGGTTTTGGGTGAAGATAGAAGCATAGTAAGTAAAGCATGATCCTATAATGGGGAAGGTGGGACTCCCTGAATTCCCAGCCTGGAAATTTTTGCACTCTTTCTGGCCCCATGGGCAGATTGTGGAGCATTACAAGCCTGCTATGCACCACCTTTCTCCTCCCCAACTGCTCCTTTCTGCTAAGAACAGAAAAAGGTCTGTCTAGGGAACTTGCTCTTTTCTCTTAGAAGCTGAGTTATTCTTGAATTAAGAGAGCCTTTCAGTCCTAGGCTGTCAAATCAACCCAGCTTCTGATCCTCTGGCTCTCCTCCATTCTCAGATGTGCTCACACTCCGGCTCCACAATCTGGTTGATCAGAGACAAAATTATCAAAACAGAGATTTCCACCTATTTCTCTCCCCAGGTGTAAAGTGCTTTCACATGGTTGAGTATCTTGTGTCTGATAAACTGATTTATAGTAAAGGAATTAATATTACTTCTTGGAGAGTTAACATTTTAAAAGAGTAGCCTGCAGAGGGCAATATTTAACCCTATCAAGAGGCTCAAATGATGGACTCTCAGGCCCTGTATTGGATAAGTTGTGGATTCATGGAGACATAAGATGATGATGACCTCACTATCTTACTATTTAAATGACCACATCTTTCAAGTGTAGGTATGAAGGCTTAAAGAGGTCACCTGGAAGGAGAGCTAGGGAAAAGGAGCTATGGCAGACACATGGCAGGAAAGCCAGTGGACCACTGCTCCCTGGAGAAGATCCTTAGAAGGGAGAGCAACTAAGGTGACTGTGAATGTCCTTGCTGGCCTTCGCCTGCCCATCACTTAAATGCAATGTGATAACTTTCATTATGTTACTATTTAAGTTACCACACCTTTCATTTACAGGCACAGGCATTTTCCATACAGAGAAAGGTAAGAAAGAGCACAAAGGCTTAAATTTCCAGCAATGATCCCAAATTGCACAAACGGAAAAAAGGCAGAAGGCAGACATGCTGTGGGTGAGTGGCTTATTATAATCCACTCATCCTTGCTCCTTTCAGTGGCATTCCACCAAGTGCTATAAGCTCTACCATATTCTTTCTAATCCCCCTAGTCTCCTGGGTTTTATTTCACTGTTGAGCACATTGAACCCCATAGAAGTAGTGGTACCAGTACCAAAGCCCTGCCTGGTTCTAGAACTCCTAGATAGAAATCCTTCCTATTATTCCCAAGGGAAATTGCTCCATTTACTCCATTACTTTCTCTAGGGAGTGAGAGAAGAGCATGTTAGACCATGAGATGGAAGGAATTAAAATCAACCAATCAGAAAATCAATGCAAAACCAATTGGAGACCAATAGAGACTATTGGGGACTCATTTTCCTTACTTGCTCCTCTTTTCTATCTGGTCCTCAAAATATGGGTGTTCTCCTAGACTTGGTTCTAAGCCCTCTCCTTCCTTATTTCAACATTCATTCCCAGGCCTTCAGCTATCACTGATAGCACAGATGATTTCTAAGTCTGTCAGCTATGTTCTCTACCTGTCACAACCACCTAATCCTGACAACTGAACATCCCCCAAATGTAGTTCCACCATCATTTCAAACATAATCTGGCTAAAGTAAAATCATCCTTTCATATACCCACTTTCTGCTAATGGCAACCGTCAATTTTTGGTTACATAGACACCTAAACAACCACAATTCTCCTATAGATTCACCTTGGCCTCTTCCTCCTGCATATCCACAGGCTGTCACACAGATCTGTTGGATATTATTGAAGTTCTTCCGGGTCTTATATATGCTTACTCATGGTTCATTGTTTCTCTTATGTATTGTAATTTTTGGCTTGTGAGCCCATCTTCAGTGGGCATTTACTTGGGCAGTGACATTCTCTGTTTCAAGGTATGTTTCTCCTGAGCAGTGTTGTGTTTGCTTGCTAGGCATTCCAGGAGCATCAACTAATAGAGACCAATTTTTATGTTAATTTCTTGGCTCAGTGTTCCTGCACCATGCAGGTGTTGTGAGTTCAAACTGTAACTCAAGTAGTTTTAAATTCTTAGAGGCAACTCCCTTTATTCCAACAAGGGCTCAGGTCAGGACAGATAAGCGATATGCCCTCCTCCCCATACCCCCTGAGGTTACACACAGCACATCTCATGCTTACATTCTTGTTTAGGTCCATGTAGATATTTTTCCTTTCTTGTAGGTTTAGTTAAGCATTTCAGTTGTCTGTTTTTTGCAAATCAGCCACACTTTCTGCAGCAGGAGGGTCTTTGGGTTATTTATTCAACAACATTGATGAAAAACCAATACCAGAAAATGTTAATTCTTCCATTAAAATATTGCCCACATTTAGCTTCTCTGTGCCTATTACCAACACCTCAGCACCCCCTCCACAACTTACACACCCATTGACTATAACATCACACACCAGTTATAAAGGTTCACTGAAATCCTGATTCTTATGCTGGAAAGACAAGAGTTGAGTAATATAAATCTTTATGAAGCAAGATATGGGGGAGAGTTTGGCAAAAAAATCCAGAATGTGTTACTTCCCATCCCAGCCTCTGTGCCTTATTTGAGACAAGACTGCAGTAAGCCAAATCACTTATTGTGGTCACTTTGCTTCCATTCCTTTATCACTTCATTCCATATTGCACAGCAGTACTGACGTAATTTCTCTAAAACATTATTCATGGTGCTTATCCCAAGCTGGTCACAGGTTTCACCTTTCTACAAGAAATACACTGCACAACAAGAAATACAAATAAACCACCAAGTCTACTGCCCCAAATATTAAGTGCTTAATTATTGTGTTGGTTGGCAAGGGGGAAAAAGCCCTAAAGGCCTAAAGGGAGAAAGGAAAAGAAACAGGGGAAAGAGTAAGGAAGGAAGGTAGATGAAGAACATAAAACTGGGAAAAAGAGGAGAGAGGAGGAGGGATAAGAAGAGAGATCGAAAGATGTAGGACTGAGGCCCTGATCCAAACCAAAGACTTCCATGAAGGGGATCACATATTTGGCTGGTCTGTACCTGTCCAAATCATGTGGACTCCCATAACTGTGCCTCAGATGTGGCCCCAGATGTGTCTGTCACTCAACTCTTTGTTTCTCTGGCCCAAATGGAGTGGGATTCAGTATAAACATTTTTAGAACTGTGGTTCCCATAACAACCAAGCAGGGATTGTTGTCTGTGAAATGTAGCAGGAGCACACATGCGCACAGGCACACACACATACATATATGCACATGTACAAAAAATACAACCCACACACACATACATGGACTCACATATTGCATGTACCCACACATGTACGTGCATGTGCTCACATTCATACACATATGTGCATGTGCATAGCTATATACCTATATTCACATGCCTATATACACACATGCACAAAAGCACACATATACCTACACAAACACACTCCAAATTGTTTTTGAGTATTCACAGTAAGCACTGAGTGAAGATAACCTTCACTACAACAAAGGTAGAACCAAGAAAACATATGGATATTTTTGGCTTTCTGCAAAAGCAGTGCTTTTAGGGAATCTGCATTTTGGCAGGAAAAGGCTCAGTAAGCTTAATATAGCAAAGAAGTGACAGGAGAGCACTGTATTTAAGCACAGACTTTGGAG